TTGTGGGTGACATCGCCAAAGACCTAGGGCTGGAGCCCTGGGAGCTGTCGGAGCGCGGAGTCCGCATCGTCTCCAGAGGTAGGACGCAGCTTTTCTCTCTGAACCCGCGAGGTGGCAGCTTGGTCACCGCAGACAGGATAGATCGCGAGGAGCTCTGCGCTCAGAGCCCGCGGTGTCTCATAAATTTTAACATCTTGATGGAAGACGAAATGAATCTTTATCCTGTAGAAGTGGAAATAATGGATATTAATGACAACGCTCCTAGATTCTTGGTTGAAGAAATAAACGTAAAAATAATTGAGAATACAGCTCCTGGACTGCGGTTTCCTTTAAACGAGGCGGGGGATCCGGATGTTGGCACGAACTCCCTCCAAAGATACCAGCTCAGCCCCAACCTCCACTTCTCCCTGGTTGTGCAAAGTGGAGACGATGGCACTAAATACCCAGAACTGGTACTGGAGCGAATGCTGGACCGGGAGGAAGAGAAGGTTCACCACCTGGTTCTCACTGCCTATGACGGTGGTGACCCGCCCCGATCTGGCACTGCCCGAATCCAGGTAACGGTGCTGGATGTGAATGATCATGCTCCCGTCTTCTCTCTGCCCCAGTACCAAGTAACTGTCCCAGAGAACGTGCCCGTGGGTACAAAGCTGCTCACAGTAAATGCTGTCGACCTGGATGAGGGAGTAAATGGGGAAGTGACATATTCTTTTCGGAAAAAAACTCCAAAACTTCTACAAAGATTCCACCTGAACGCCCTTACAGGAGAATTATCAACTTTAGAAGAACTAGACTATGAAGAATCTGGCTTCTATGAAATGGAAGTTCAGGCTCAGGATGGTTCTAGTAGTCTGACAAAGGTAAAAGTACTGATCACGATTTTAGATGTGAATGACAATGCTCCAGAAGTGACTGTAACGTCTTTAAGTGGCACAATCCCTGAAGACAAACCTCCTGGGACAGTAATTGCTCTTTTCTACGTCCAAGACAGAGATTCTGGGAAGAATGGTGAAGTGACCTGCACTATTCCAGAAAATATGCCTTTTAAGTTAGAAAGATCAATAGATAATTATTATAGATTGATGACAGCCAAAAGTCTTGACCGGGAAAAACTCTCTGTGTATAACATCACACTGCAAGCCACAGATGGTGGAACTCCTCCCCTATCCACTGAAACTCACATCTCTATGCATGTGGCAGACACCAATGACAATCCACCCACCTTCCCCCACTCCTCCTACTCAGTCTACTTCCCTGAGAACAACCCCAGAGGCACTTCCATCTTCTTGGTGACTGCACAAGACCCTGACAGCGATGAGAATGCCGAGATTACTTATTCTTTGGTGGAAGACACCATCCAGGGAGCTCCAGTGTCTTCTTATGTCTCTATCAACTCTGATACTGGAGTGCTGTATGCTCTGAGATCCTTTGACTATGAGCAGTTTCAAAACCTACAACTGATAGTGACAGCACATGACAGCGGGAACCCACCCCTGAGCAGCAATGTGTCACTTAGCCTTTTTGTGCTGGATCAGAATGACAATGCACCCGAGATCCTATACCCTGCCATACCCACTGATGGATCTACAGGTGTGGAGCTGGCACCCCGCTCTGCAGAGCCTGGCTACCTAGTGACCAAGGTGGTGGCAGTGGACAGAGACTCAGGCCAGAACGCCTGGCTGTCTTACCGCCTGCTCAAGGCCAGTGAGCCAGGGCTCTTCTCTGTGGGGCTGCACACGGGTGAGGTGCGCACAGCACGGACCCTACACGACAGAGATGCGCTGAAGCAGAGCCTTCTGGTGGCCGTCCAGGACCATGGCCAGCCCCCTCTCTCAGCTACTGTCACACTCACGGTGGCTGTGGCTGACAGTATCCCAGAAGTTCTGGCTGACCTGAGCAGCCTTGAACCGCCAGCTGGGCCTTACGACTCTGGCCTCACTCTATACCTGGTGGTGGCAGTGGCGGTGGTCTCCTGTGTCTTCCTTGCCTTTGTCATGGTGTTGCTTGCACTTAGGCTGGGGCGCTGGCACAAGTCACGTCTGCTGCAGACTTCCGGAGCTGTGCTGACAGGCATGCCTGCCTCGAACTTTGTTGGTGTGGACGGGGTGCAGGCTTTCCTGCAGACCTATTCCCATGAGGTCTCCCTCACCGCGGACTCGAGAAAGAGTCACCTGATCTTCCCTCAGCCCAATTATGTGGACACACTCATCAGCCAGGAGAGCTGTGAGAAAAATGATTCTTTGTTAACATCCATAGATTTCCATGAATGTAAGGATGAAGCCCCAAGTATTCAGGTGAGCTCAGGCCTTCCTTTATTTCCATGAGGAATTATATTTCATGTGATATTTTTCTATTATTTTGCAAAACAAGTGTTATGAAGTTAGGAATTAAAAAAAAATTTAAAGAGGCAAAAACTAGTTCACCAGTTTACTTCAATGGTGATACTTTAACATTGAAAACGTCAGTTATGATATCCTTTCTTTAGCGGAAGCCTATGGGCAAGATGGTTAATAAGTGGACTATCACCTTTTGGTAATTTCCACCTACCTTCCACTTGGTTTTCTTAACTTGTGTGTTTTATAAATGAAAACAAATTGTTGAGTTTTTCTTATTGTAGTAGGTAAGCAAGAGTAGAACACACCTCAGGCACCTTCTCAGTATTCTCTTTAGCATTCTGATTTATACAGTGTTCTTGAAGACTTTTTCTAATCTGAAACTCTTTTCTGTTTTCTGATCTTGGTTATGTGTACTTCACCTTGATGATCCAGAAAATCTTGGTTTCTTCTTGACCTATTTAAAGTATAATCTTTTAGTCAAGTTAGGCTACTAGTGCAAGATTAGGTTGATGCCTAAATAATGAAATGTGTGTGCTGACCTTAACTAAGACAGACATGGTGTCTAATGTTAAATGAAAGGTCATTGACCAAAACCAATAAAATATGTCAAAAATTTCAGGTGTTATAACTGGCATTTGTGAAACAGGCAGTTATGTGGGGTTTTTTGTTTGTTTGTGACAGAATCTCACTATGTCACATTCAGTAGAGTGCTGTGGTGTCACAGCTCACAGCAACTTCCAACTCTTGAGCTTAAGCAATTCTCTTGTCTCAGTCTCCCAAGTACCTACAGGTGCCCGCCACAACACCCGGCTATTTTTTGTTGCAGTTGTCATTGTTGTTTAGCTGGCCCAGCTGCCTTCGAACCTGCCAGCCTCAGTGTATGTGGCCAGTGCCCTATTCACTGAGCTATGGGTGGTGCCCAGTTATGTGTTTTTAACACAGAAAGTAGTATGTTGTTTTTAGTGGTATATCCATGTGAAATGTGTCTATGGGCTCTTTTAGTGGGAGCTTGGGGATATTGTGCATGCTGGCTTTATGAAACAACTGTCTCATCTACTCAAATCCTAGGTCACCAACTGATTTTATTTATTGATTAGAAATAACCCAATCTGAAATTAACTACTTCCATATTATTTCGTATGTTAAATGATTATTATCTGGAAGGGGGTGACAAGAGGCTGAGGAGGAAAGGATTCCTTGAGCACAGGATTTCCAGGTTCACCTGTGGAACATAGTCTGGCCCCTCCGTCTGTTATTTTTTAATATCTTTTTCTCTAAAGTAGTGTTATATTTAGTGGTATTTTGCATATAATACATTGCCCAATTGTCCACACATTCTGTATATTCAGATGTATAATCACTTGCAGAAGAGGACAATGTTATGATACTTTATGAGGAAAGGTACTTTGGCAGAAACATAGTTATAAAAAATATTTTTAAATCCTCAAATTAAAATTTATGAGATTCAGGGCGGTGACTGTGGCTTAAGGAGTAGGGCGCTGGTCCCATATACTGGACGTGGTGAGTTCAAACCCAGCCCCGGGCAAAAACTGCAATAACAACAAAAAAGTTTATGAGATTCTTTAAAATATTTTTAAACAAAGGGGAGAAATAATAACTTAATTCAGGAGCTATTGCAAGCCCACTTTCTAGGAATTATTTCCTTTCATACAGAAGTCATCATGAATGTTAAATAAGTGTAGAGGTAGGAATCAGTGTTTCAATGCAATAGATGTTGGTGATTTTGTTGAGGCGAAATGCTATATCCCTGATAACTTTGAAGATTAATGTTATATTTTATAATGAGGAAAATAATTGTGTAATTGGAAGGAAAAGGATAGCCTATTTTTAGGCTATCCCATTTCCTTAACCTAATATTGCATATGATTGCAGAAATGACAATCACATAATATTACCATAAAGATATCACTTAACCTATTGGTAAAAGATATATGTTTGAAGATAAGTACAAATTGTGCCTTCCTAAAAACAATTTTAGCATCAATGATGCTGTCTGGAAAATTTTTAAATAAATAAACTTGCAAGTACCTAGAAACGTGGGGGAAACAGTAGGAACAAGAAAAGAAAGATGGAGTTTATTTATTATATTACTAATGTATAATTACTGTAGTCAGGTGGTTTACTTAGGCCAACTCTGTGTTAGGTTCATCTTTGTGTGAGTAGTGTGTGTTCGAAGATTTGTGAATGATTATGTCAATACATAGATGTTTATGTATTAAATCTATATGATTTCCTGGAAAACCTAGAAATCAGGAATAAAGGCATTTCTAAGAGTACAACTTTAAGCGTTATTAAATATACGAACATAGGAAAAAAGCATGGCTTTTTCAGTTAGGCACACAATGATAATTATCATACTAGTGAAACTGAAGCAGCAGAGGCTGCAGTTTCCCAGCGTGGACTCTGGGCGCCGCTGTTGGCCAAAGTGGAGAACTGGGCGCTCGCGATCTCCCCGCGCAGACGCGGCGCTTTCTAGGGCAGCCCCATCTCAGACTCTCCAACCATAGTCTTTCCACCGCTTCCTCCCCCGGAATAGAAGACTCTTTTCCTGAACTGGAACTAGAACTTAAGTCGGTTCGGAGCTGTGGACATCTGCAAAACAGAGATTATTTGTGTCCAGGCTGGTGAGCAAGGTGAGGAGAGCAAGAGGGATGGGGAGCGGCGCTGGGGAGCGGGGCCGGGCTGAGAGGCGGCCAGTGCTCTTTCCCTTCCTGCTGTCTTTGTTCTGCCGGGCGCTGTCTGAGCAGATCCGCTACAGGATTCCCGAGGAAATGCCCAAGGGCTCGGTAGTGGGAAACCTGGCTAAGGACCTGGGCTTCAGTGTCTGGGAGTTGCCCACTCGAAAACTGCGTGTCAGTTCGGAGAAGCCTTACTTCACGGTGAGCGCGGAGAGTGGGGAGTTGCTTGTAAGCAGCAGGCTAGACAGGGAGCAGATATGCGGGAAGAATCCAGCATGTGCTCTGGAATTTGAGGCTGTGGCTGACAATCCGCTGAACTTTTATCACGTGAATGTGGAGATCGAGGACATTAATGACCACACGCCAAAATTCTCGCAAAATTCCTTTGAGCTGCAAATAATTGAGTCGGCACAGCCAGGCACACGATTTATCTTATTATCTGCCCATGATGCAGATATTGGTACCAACTCACTACAGAATTACCAGCTCAGCCCCAATGATCATTTCTCACTCATGAATAAAGAGAAATCAGATGGCAGTAAATACCCTGAGCTGGTATTGAAGATGCCTTTAGACCGGGAAAAGCAGAAATCCTACCACTTGACCTTGACTGCCTTGGACTTTGGAGATCCACCCCTAAGCAGCACTGCACAGATACAAGTCCTAGTGATTGATGCCAATGATAACCCACCAGTGTTTAGCCAAGATATATACAGGGTGAGCCTTCCAGAAAACGCGTCCCCTGGAACCACCGTGCTTCAGGTGACTGCCACTGATCAGGATGAGGGGATCAATGCTGAGATCACCTTTTCTTTCAGCGAAGCTAGCCCTATCACCCAGTTTAATCTGAATTCGAATACTGGGGAAATTACTATTCTAAATACATTAGATTTTGAAGAAGTCAAAGAATATTCCATAGTTTTGGAAGCAAAGGATGGTGGAGGAATGATTGCACAATGTACGGTGGAGATAGAAGTCATAGATGAAAATGACAACGTCCCAGAAGTGATATTCCAGTCTCTTCCAGACCTCATTATGGAGGACACTGAGTTGGGAACGCACATTGCTTTGCTCAAAATCCGTGACAAGGATTCAGGAAACAACGGAGAAGTTAGTTGTAAACTGGAAGGTGATGTTCCATTTAAAATACTCACTTCGTCAAGAAACACGTACAAATTAATGACAGATGGGGTTCTAGATCGTGAGAAGAACCCAGAGTACAATATCACCATTATAGCCACAGACCGCGGCAAGCCGCCCCTCACCTCCAGCTCCAGCATTACCCTGAACATCGGTGATGTGAATGACAATCCTCCGGTTTTCAAACAGGCTTCTTATGTGGTCCACGTGGCTGAGAACAACCCGCCAGGAGCCTCAATCTCACAAGTCAGCGCTTCCGACCCCGACTTAGGACCCAATGGCCAAGTCTCCTACTCCATTGTGGCCAGTGACCTGGAACCCAGGATGCTGTCATCCTACGTGTCAGTGAACCCCCAGAGTGGGGTGGTGTTCGCGCAGCGCGCCTTTGACCATGA